AACGTTACGCCACTATGTGGAACATATTGTGTAACATACTGTGTCGATCATCTAATCGAGTAAAGCCCGCTATGTTCCACGCAGTAGGAACATATTACGTTGGCGATTGTTATAATTATGGAATTGGTGTTAAAAAAAACGAAAATAAAGCCTTAGAATATTATCAAAAGTCCGGAATTGGTGATGAAAAAACCGATCAAAAATCCGCTGATTTGGTGATTAAGTCGTTGTTTATCCCTGATCGTAAGATATATATATTTAAATTATTATAATTATTTTATGCGTTTTGATATATATCTATATCTATTATATTAGCCGATCACCTATTTGCAGCACTCGGGAAAACAAAGAAACAATAAATTAGAAAATTTTGCAATTATTATAACGCATCTATGGCGTTTTGCGTCTGTCGTATGCTTTTATTATAAGTATTAATAATAAATAAAATTTATATATACTGTAAAAATTACATAGTTTATATATAAAAATTCTTATTGTATAAATCTACATTGAGTTTTTAGACCTATATAAAATTTTATATAATAATATAGAGTTACATAAATTTCATAAAAAAAAAACAATGTTGTGATGTACTTCATTACCGTCTCCAAAACCTACATCAAAATTTAAACCTGAACCAAGGCCTATTGGTGAGCAAATAGTCCTCTTTTTGACTTCTCTGTTCTCGGCCACACTGCTTAGAGTTCCAGGTTGGCACTAATTAGTGTTTGGACTCACAGATTAAAAATCATAATCTAAACTCGAGTTAATTCGAGTCAAGATTACGTTTTTTAAGCTACGAGTTGGCTCGAGTTCAAATACTAGTACCAATAAATACATCTATGTTTCTGATGAAGATCCAGATAAAAATAATGTTTGAAATCAAAATAGTGGAAACCGTGCAAGCATGATAAATTGGTTTAAAAGTCAAAACTACGGTCATTATAACTGTGAAAAGGTGTCGAGCCCTGCAATTGGTACAGCACAAGATATGATACAAAAAAGAAAGAGCAGAAGTATAAATTTATTGGCAATAATTGTCTTGATGACACAATTGCAATTTTGAGTGTATATGATGCACCAAGATTACAACCTGCAAGTGATAATTCAGATCCAGGTCACACTAACAATGAAAAATATTGTGGACAGCTAGCAAAAATTTTTAGTCGCGATTGTGCCGGGAACTCAACGAAAGAAATGGAAACACAAAAAAATACTTGAAAGATAAATCAATCCATGATGATCGTATTATAAACTAGTGTAACAGGTGGCGCTACGCGCCACCCCTTATTGTGGTGACATATAGTATAAATTTAAATTATCATAATTTCATTGTAAAAATGTGTTTTCTATCATTTGTCCATATAATAAATTGCTACAAAACTTACCACATTATGTAGTTAAGGCTATGTTAGTTTGTATTGGAATTAGCATGAACTCTATCATATACTACTGAAAAAATACTGTTATACATAGAACTTGCTATTCTGTTAACCATAGTATTAGGTTTGCATCGAAATAATCATGATTTC